CCCCTGTGTAGTTCGAAGGAATAAATGGGGATAGATAGTGGGACTCTACTGTTTTTTATACAAACATAAATTTTTTTTTTTTTTTTTTGAAAATTAAAAAATATAGTAAAATGCAGAAAAGGTTGTAATTTTCTAACGTCTCTTTAGAGAGGGGCTTCATTTCAAATTCCAAATGTGGGCGTTGGAGTGAGGCAGCGAGATAAAGTTACCTGTCACTGCATGCGGGGGATGAGGGTTTGTGACGTGGGAAGTGAGGTGACGGGTACGTGGCAGTTGAATGGGGAGAGGGTATGTAATTCGTTGTACGTAGTTCGGTGAGGATAGTGGTTTTTCAAAAGTCAAATAATAGAAGACGAAACGAAGCTCCGGTGCATGTTGGGCTACGACCCGGGAGCCATACTTTAGTTTTCTGTCGTTGGGCCTTGGGCGTTAATGAATTTTTAACATTTATAAATCGAAAGTGTCATTTGAACACACGCACAAAAAAATAAAAAATAAAAAATAAAAAAATCGAAAGTGTCAGGATCGACGTCCACAAATTATAAATTTGATACCCAATTTTAGTTGTCTCTGTTTACGGCTTAGAATATATAATTGATCTCTAATACTCCTTATATCTTGGTTTTTTTATAACGAGGGACTGGTCGAATTTAAACCTCCTTTGAACTAATAAGAAGAGAAGCGCTAAAAGTCAATTGGTTAATTTAGCATGTCATTGTTGTAGTAGTAAGATTTATATTTATTTAATTAGAAACAAAAATCGTCGGTCTTCATTTGTTAGAAGAAATTTCCACTTAAATTTTATGTACGATAGTTGTTTAGAAAGAAAAAAAAATTAGTGTTTCGACCTAGAGAACTCCAACACATTCATAGAAATTAAGAGTAGAAATTCTTCTTCGCTTATTTTGAAGTGTAACAAATATTTTTATGACTCAAGACATGCAAACTACTGAGGTACAGCACAGAATGACCCTTTTTTCTTTTGGTAAATAAGGACCCATCTTCTAATGAAGTGTTGAACGTATATATTAAGATTCTCCTTGTTACTGGTAGAGTGGAACCGGTCATAATCATTTAGTCTAATGTCATCCCATCTATTTTGTTAAGAGTTATTGGAAAAAGTTTTAAATTCAAATCTCGTGGACGATAATAATTGTTTATTAATAACTCTAAATAAAAACAAATGAAGAAGGTAAACTTAGAAACAATGTCCAATGACAGTTTCACACAAAGATCGAATATTTATAGCTATAAGTCAATCTTTACTGGTAACATCATGGAATTCATGATCAAGAGTGGGGACAAATTAGAAACGTTTCGTGTTTGAAAAATTATTAAACTCGATCGTGTTTTTTGGGTCATAGTTTATACGTAAAATCCTATATATACATTGTTAAGGTAAACATTCCAGATCCGGAAAAATTACTAAAGAAGAAGAAGACTCGGCGAGAATTTCATTAAAAAAAAAAAAGAACAGGCCATTCATCGCATATAAATAGATCACAAATGTCTTTCAAGATTTTCACGTTACTAACCATAAATTGAATAAATCGAGAGGCAGAAAAACATGAATGGATAGATCGATCAATCCCACAAAAATTGAAAGAATTAATTAAACACAATCTTAATTTGAGGCCAAAGCCAAATGCATGCAAAGCTCACTAGCTAGAATTTTCATGAAAACCTCAAATCTGAGATATATCCCTTTGCATTCTCTCAAACTACGCGTACACAAGCGCATAATATTTGTTCTTGAACCAACGTACCCCATTCTTTAAAGCAGTCTTGAATTTGGCTTCAACGGCATAGGACTTGTACTTAGCCACCCGACGTTGTCTCTTGACCTCTGAGTGTCCGAAGTTGTAGATTGAAGATGCTTTGCATGAATACTTTCGGTTTTCCCACGGATAACTTTCGTGATCATGGTCACCGTCAGGCACATATGTTGAACCATAAGTTGGCCTCATCTTGTCCATCTCTCTCATATTTCTCACCTGTCAATCAAGATTGACGAGGAAAGACAAAGAGAGGTGGACGATGAAAACTTGGTTATGATGGGAGAGCAAGGTATTGTTATAGAGGGATATGTGTGTTCTCATTTTGTCTATAAATGATGTTGATTAAATAAGAAGGGCTTTGGGAAACCATTGTCTTAATTTGTGAGGATGTGACGAGGATACAACAAAAAAAGAACGAGAGGATCTGTGAATGCATAAGCAAAACCGCTCAAACATAAAGAGGGTTTCTTTGCCAAATTAATGTGCATCCTCAGAAATCTGTTCCAAGGAAAAAATGGGCATTTAGAAAGAGGAATTACTTCATTTTTCATACAGTAATGTTACACTTATCACATATTTATACTATATTTGTATCATTTTTCTAATAGCTAGGTAGGTTCTACTAATACATGTGGATTACATCTCTATTAGAGAAATAGTACAGATGTGGTAAAAGTAGCATTTTTTTATCTAGAAATAGATAACACTGGAAAAAACAATTCTTCCTTAAATATAATCTAACAGTTGTTATATTCAGGGCGTTCATTGATATAGTAATGCTTCATTTGAAACTTGAATTTTTTATTGAGAAGTATTTAATTGTTATTGTCATTCTAAAAATCTAACTGTAAATTCTAAATTTTTTATATTTAGAAGAAAAACTCTTATAAGAGGTGTACAATTAAATTTTCATGAGCATCTCGAAAGGAGATGTCAAAATTTCCGCATTGACAAAAACGGTTGAAAAGAGACAACTTTAGTGTTTTCTAATTGAAATGTCAATTGATTGACAACAAAGATGGTACCTGTTAAATTTGACAACAACTTCAAATAATTTTTAATTAACTATTAAATGCTTTTTATTAATTTTTTTATTAGTTTAAATGGAAATGTTACGGAGACTCTCTCAAAAATGTATATTGTCTTTTCCTTTTCTTTCATTACCAATGCAATGTTTAAATATTCTTATACCCTTTCTTTCATTTCCTTTCATTACCAATGCAAAAAAGTAAATATAAATTTTATTTTATATTTAAAATTTGACATACTTGGTGGAGAGTAAAATTTTAAAAGTTGTGAAAGTGTCACAAAAGCTGTCAAATTTAAATTGGGAATTGTTATTAGCACTCCAAAAATCTCATTCTACACTCCAAACTTTCTATATTGGGAAAGAAAAATACACTTGTGAGGAGTGTAAAATAAGATTTTTGGAGTGCCAATAACACTTCCCTTTAAATTTTATGTTTATAATTTGACATCTCCTTTTGAGATGGTCTAAACTGCCAATAATTATATTTTTTGTTAGAATATGTAATGCATGTTACAAATGCAGTGTAAGCATTGTTGTGAGTTTCGACAGAAATAAAACTGCAAAAACAACATCGTTTGGTTAGAGGCAACTATGCATATATGTATATAGTTTGTTTCCTACAGATTGTGATCACTGCTATCTGCATATTGTTATACGTGTGCGATCTATAATATGTAGTAAGGTGTAATGTTTTTTAATAAAAAAAAGTATGAATTATTCTCTTTTCTTATATTTTAATTAGGTCGACAACATTTTCCTTTTCGGAAACTGTACAACGAACCAATGGCACCGAAGAAGAAATTTAGAGTCCCCATATCCTTGTGATTAGCGGAGAACAGCCATTTTGTCTTAAAATTGAGATTATTTTGTTTCTTTCCTTGTCAGAGAGGGGCTCTTAAAGAATGGGGCTTTTTTATTATTGTATATTGTTCATTAACACTTGGGTTATTACCTTCCATAGATAATCCTCTAAATTTAAGTATTGTGTAACTTAGTCTAAGAAATAACTCTTATTATTTACCTCTTCTATAAATATAACAACTGAAACCAAAAAATTGGGAGTAAATTGTTGGTGGTATTCACATTACCTTCCAATTTGTTAGGGAAGACTTGGTCTTAGGAAAACCGTTGACTTATCAAAGCAGTGTAGTATGCCCAGCTAATTAAAAAGATGTTAAATCAATGTATGTGTAATTTTCAAAAGCAAAAGAAGTGTATTTTAAAAGAAAACTATCATTATTACTCTAAAAAATTTATTTTATATTCATCATAAGTGTTTTTTTTTTTTTAAGTATAAAAAATCTGGAGTACAAAATGTGATTCTTAAAATGCTAATAACAATACCTTTTGAAAACATATATTCTTTTTTTGTTCGACGTGTGTTCCAATAAAACCCTAATACTAAAAGCAAAGTAAAAAACAAGATTTCTAAAGAACTGACAGAAAATAAATAGGGGTTTCAGGGCAAGCAAGGAAACGAATGGCTCCTACTCCTAGCTACTACATGCACCACCATCTAATCAAACAAGGAACAACTCCGTCCTTTCCTTCATTATATTTGACGCGCATGGTAGCCCGTCCCAAGAGAAAACCAACAATAACGAAGGAGGAGACACATGTGCGCACTTATACAGTCAGTGTGTGTGTGTGTGTGTGTGTGTTCATGCACATCCTCGACGAGTTGGAACTCAGTTCAAAAATTCGAATGGATAGAGGAAAAAACACATAAATTGGGGTTGAATATCCTTTATAATAGATAAAGTTCCACTGCCCGTCAAAAATTTTTAGAGATAATCATGCCATATTCGGAAAATCTCATTTTTGCTAATTTTTCTTCGGCTCTATTAATCTTATTTAGACTGTAGTATAACCATTTAGAGTTTAAGTTCTAGATTTTTTAATTTAAAAAATAGACTTTAAATTTTAAGTCTCTGACTTTGGGCAATCAACTTTACATTTTATGATTAACTCTATTAACAAATAAGATGAAGGCTAAAGAAAATTCGTGCATCTATGTAACTTTACATGGCTACGAACTAACTCGGAATCTAGAATTTCTTTTCCTAATATTGAAAAATGTCCTGAATTAGAATTCTCTCCTTCCCATTGATTAGGAAAATAAAATTTCACATGGCCAGCTAGCTAGACTTTATGATTATTAAGTAAGGTTCTCAATATTAAGATCCTAATAATAAAGACATAAATGATCTATTTCATAGCATATGCATCGTTTGATACATTGTAAAACAATGCTTGTCCATTGATGAGCTCTAACATGCACCTTTTTAGGGTTCTCTGGATGGCATTGGAAACCAAATAATTGAACACGCAAGTTCTCAACCATACACGAAATGACAGAAAAAAGCTTTCTAAGTAACCAGTTTATTGAATATTAAGACTCAAAGTCTCAAACGCAGATCAACATCATTTCCTTCATCTACGTTGGGAACAACCTGTTTGATATGTTTGAAGTTCAAGCCATGAGGGTTTCTGGGGGCTACCACAGACGGGACCCGAGCTGCACCAGCATGACCATGATCAGAACCACCATTGATATTGCTTGTGGATCCACTAGAGCCAACGATTATGGGTACACTTGTCGCTACCCGTTGATATTGATCACGATGACCATGATTGGGAGGAGGATGATGATGTTGGACACGGTCTAACATGGCCATCCTTTCAAGCTGCCTTTCTCTTTTGTGTGCGTTTTGATGTCCGCCCAACGCTTGAGAGCTTTCAAACTTCCGGCCACAGTACTGACACTCAAACTTCTTGCTCTCGATGATCATGGCGACTCGGTCACTGTCATCCGTCACCGAAAACCCGAATAGCTTCATTTTCTGATGAAAGAATATGGTTAATGGAAATTGAGAACTAATGAAACTTACATATATTACTTGCCCTTGGAAATACCCAAGCAACATATCCAAAGCTACAGAAATCTAGTGCTAAAGCACTATTGCATGGCCTATCATGGCAAAACACCTACCCACACGATCTCTGGTCTTCTCTGGCCTCCCCTAGTACCCCTTTTACTATTAATTGTCACATATATTTCTTTAAAAAGGGACGAGCTGGTGGATTCGCTATGACAATCAACTTTTTTGGGAGCATGAAAGATTCATAGAAACATTTCAGTCTTCCCTGACCACTCATCGTGCAATTCATTAATGGCAAGAATCGAATCTAGGATGTGTGTGTGGAATACAGACTTGTAATTCGTCCCCAACTACTGAGTCACTCCGTAGTAGTTAATTTAAAAACGTCTTTCTTAGCTATGTTAATTTTCTCTAGTTAAGAACGTCCTTCTTAGCTACCATATAATGCATTTTAACAATTAAAAACATTTATATTTTAATTTCTCACTTTCATCTAAAACACGAAAAGAAAAAAAACCACAATTAGTTCGATAAAAGTTAACGGAAAATGCAAGCATTCGAACAACTAAACAATTGTCAATTTAACCGGTTTTTGCATAGATAATCTTTAAGAAGTAATATAAAAGGAAATAATTTCAATCATGGCTTAGAAAGTCAAAAGATATTCTTGACATAAACGTATACAAGTTTAATTTGACTTAATTCTTACAGGGTAGACCTAAACAGTAGAGATCCGGATCGTGAAGCCAACCAAAAAAAAAAGAAAAAAAAAGGATTAAAGGCAGACTACATTGCATACCGACACGCTTTAGAGTAATGTAAGAGAGACTAAATTTGTAGACTAAATTTTAAAAACTAAAGAACATAGAAGTTGATGATTAGTTTATTACTTAAGCGTTGATAAACGTACTCATTTCTATTAGTGACATATTATTTAGTTTACAAATTTAATCTCTCTAGCATTACCCCACGCTTTAAGGATTGCTCATACCTAAGAATGACATGGAAAGTGAAACAAACAAAACAAGAACATATTTTGGGGAGCGACGAGATATATACAGTACTAGTGCTCGGTTAATTTGTTGCTTTACGTGTGTCCCACGACAGTGTCTTTGGCGCTTACACTAAACCTGGACCTAATTAAGTTAGACTCTTAATACTTAATAGTTAATAGATAAGCTAAAGCCTAATTCTAAAAGGCCAAGTCAATTACGTGCAAAATTAATCTGTGTCACTACTCACTAAAATACACAAAAATATATTGTGTAGACATGTACATGCGCATTGTTTAAAAAAAAAAACTAGACATGTTTATGCATGGCGACCATGTACAAATATATGTATGAGCCCCTTTGGGATGAGGGTTAGTTCCACAGCAAAAATTTTAGAACTCTTGTTTCTTTTTACTCGGGTTCAAATCTCCCACTGCAAATTATTTTCAATTTACATTCTCTCTTTTTTGTATTTTATTTTTCTTGCTTTATGGTGTAAAGTTTATGTTCCCACTTGAAGCGGAATTATTGATATCTCGATTGATAGTTATACTGACAACATGCTCACAACATATCAACACATTTTGGACACCATATTGATATTATATCAACATGTTGCAGACATCTGTATCAAGAATCCCTCCCCCTGTTAATTGAGAAGGGGTTTGTGTATGATATATATCCTCCCTTTTTGTTTTCGTTTTTTTCCTTCTTTCTTATGGCACTCATGTGAGAGATAGTACCACAGCTACTTTAGTACGCGCATACTGCCGACATTATGGTATGGAAGGGATGATTGATGAAATATTGAAATAACAATATCATGAAATAAAATCATTTTTCTCTTTGTTAGAAAATATATGTGAGATTCATATTGAACCTACAAATATGTAAAATGTAACATCAAATGGTGAATAAATTCGGCCACAAGAAGTGATTCAAGGTCAGCCACTACTATGCCTTCATTCACGCTCGCCGTTTAACACGAGGGTTATTGTCTTCCACAATCCAAGTACATTTCATTTCATCTCGATCGATATTGATGTATGCTTGTGGAGGGGGCCATGATTCTGCATATTTCTGGTCAAGCTCAAATATTTGAGAACTGCTAGCTCTTAAATAACATTAATGTTGTAACAATATTCTGAAAATATATAACAGCAGCAAATAGTCACATTATATCGATATAATTTTGATAAAGTATCGATACTACCCCGCTATATATTAATAGCAAACATACCCATATTGCTATATTAAGGTATAACTATCCATTTCATATTGTTGATAATATCCCTTTGCTACGGTGTTATGGCTAACTAAGAGATTTTCAGAGAAATCTATTGCATAAATCATGCTTATAAAAACAAGATCATCGCTCGATCCGAAGAAAAGAGAGAAAAAAAAAGAGAGTGAAAAAAAAAAACAAACAAACAAACTAATAAGATCATGACATGCATGCTATTGGTGTGCATGGTACAGTATTTGACCAATCAAATAGCTTGTAGTACAAGCATATCTCGTATATTGGCCATGCCATCGATAAAAGGGTTGAATAGCGATTGCCAACAGACGACAAAAAAACTAGAAGGGAAAAGGAGGTAGGGGCCGGAGAGCTCAAGCTATATAATTGGGTTTCCATGCGTGCACAGCGATGAGCAGTCAGTTCCATTGATTCACGCGGATATTACCTTATCGGCTATAATTAATTTGCCTTTGATTTGGTAGTACACCCTACTTTTTTATTTTTAGGTGAGTCCAGTCCCCTGCTTTTTTTGTCCTTCACAAACCATTGACTTTGATAGCACATAAGTTTGCCTTAGCTTAGATAAGCATGCATCATAAACCATTGTAGCTACGAGATGTGTGGATATATTGGTTATTTTTCATTCATCGTACTAAGTAATTACTTTGTTGTTTTTTGCAAGTTGCAACGCAACTAACTTGATAGGTGTAGCCTTTTGTTCTTTCCCTCCTTAATTAGAAGACTTTTTTTTTTTTTTTTTTTTGTGATTTTCTAGTAGATTTTATATTTGCATACTAACACTTTTTCTTAATAATGTCATATGTTTTAGCATTCTCATGTTACACTGTAGTGTTGGTCTAGAACGCTATCTAACATCGTAACGTGTATTACTTCTTGTTTTAAATTATATGCAAATTGTAACTAGCTAAGTCTAGCCTTTTCTCCTATACGCGTGAGTTAGAGATTATTCTATGATTTTGTCTTAAATTTTGCATTTGCCAACTTTCATACATTTCTCAAGACGTTATCATGACATTCTAAGTCAATAACACATGTCATGCGTTTTAATTTTTTTTTATAACACTGCATTATTGATCTGAAACGCTGCAATGATTCTACATGCGTAAGTTTTAGGAGAGAAACATTAATAAAACAACATACGTCATACAGTACGGTCCACCAAATTCACCTTGTCTCGTCCACAGTTTGTTTGCTTTTGTTTGTCATGGTATTTTTTACAAAGTTCAATCATAAGAATCCCACTGACATTGTTTTGTTTCTCATGAGCTTTGAATCATTGCTAAATTTGGTCTCTTTTCAAGTTTCTAGTTTTGTGGAAACTAGGGTTGCAGTACTTTCTGATCGGATATTTATGGAGTTAATGATCATCTTTTTTTCTGATCACTAACTGGAGAAGTTCTACTAACCGTCGTCTGGATCGCCTAAATATTACAGCAGACACCACAAAAACATCATAATATTTCATCATCCTCAATAAATTTTTGGATGTGCTAGGAACACGATATAGGCATTTAGTTGCATAATGCAATTGATTGGAATTTTTTTTCAAATTTTCAATCAATTATGTTATTACACTTAGCATACTGGACCATGCATGTTTTCAACACATTAAAAAATATCTTCACATCCCCTACTTGTCACTAGGGCCAACTCTTTCGTCCTACACCCCTCACTTTGGGATGAGTATTCTATTTGTGAGGATCTTACAAATCCTCACATCTTATTCGTTTATCATACATTGTACGGTCAGTTTTTGTTAAATATTGTTTATGTTTAATTTTAAATAAATAATTTAAAATAATTTATGATTGCACGATGTATAATGAACGAATAAGATGTGAAGATTCCTAAAAATAAGATCCTCATAAATTGGATACAGGTGGGATACAAATCCCTCACTTTGCCTTGTCCGGGTTCGGACAGAAGACTCTCTCCACCAAATGGCAAGGTGATGGATGTTTTGACCAATTAAGCGATATACCTACGTGATAAAAAATAACACAACCTATTCAGCTTGCTGCTGGGAAACCTTTGATGAGTGTTTGTTTATACTCAGAGACCCAGGGTGAAGATTTTGGATCGAAAAAGTGTTATTCACACACTTATTTTTACTTCTCACACATCCTTGTCAATTTTTTTATCTTCTTCAAACCATTAAATCCGACGACCGAAATTGACAGAAATATGTGAGAAGTAAAAATAATTGTGTAAATAACACTACCTTTTCAGAAAAAGACATGGTGCGATGGAAACCTATATTTTGATATTACCGCGCATGTGCGATGGACACAAAGAAAACTGGTATGGCATTTCATAGTATGTTTGGGTTTATCAAATATTTCGGAGATTTTTTATCGTTAAGTCATTAATCAAAGTATAATAACTAAGATTCAACAGTTAAAAACTCTATAAAAAATATTCCTGGACGTACTAGAATTTTTGAAATAGTATTAAAAGATAGTTCAAATATATGTATGAAGCTATCAGCCACCGATATGTTCATACAATTTTTTTTTCTTTTTTTTTTTTTTGTTTGAGTGAGGTATTTCCAGGAACTTTGAATGTTTGACCGTGTGGATCTTAATTCTGGCCGAATCATGTGAATTGAATGTGAAACCGTTTATATATAAGTCGTTCTTGTGAAATCCTGTGAAATCGAGTGCTCAAAGATTTTAAAGGAACTCCGTTTACACAAACAATTTTTGCCTTTGTATTTTTAGACACTTCAATTTATAATTTTAACATTCCCTGGACTCCAGAAACAAGTTATTGATATTCTAAGAAAGCCACTTTTGAACGAAAAAAAAAGTTTTGTTTAGACACCTAGTTTTCACTTTATATGCTCTCTACAATGAAAACTAGTATAAAAGATG